CATCGAAAACAAAACAGACGAGCGAGTTCTTCTGAAATATACAGCAGCTTCGATGAGATTACAGAGTCAGCATACATTTCAGTTGCGTCGCAAGCCAAGAACAATGGTGTAATCTTTTCAATTTGCCCGCGGCGCAAACACTTTACGTATATATGGTCAGAATTACCATATTTGGCGAGTTGTTGATAAGCTGCCAAATACAAAGGCATACTGTCTGGCTTAAAATCAGTTGGATAAAACGTTTTCAGGACAAACTTTCCAGTAAGAACTAACCAAGGCGACGTTCCTCGCGATTTCTGCTGAATAGGCATAAGAAGTCATATGGCCTGATGCGGTTTTATACCTATAGTTTAACTGTCAGGTTCAATAATAGAAGACATATGTTTAATTTTTTTAGAACGTTGCGAAAATATCAAATCTTAACGTCAAGACGACGTTGTTTACGACGTTGTTTTGATGTCATATCCAAACGTTACACTAATACGTTGCTACAACGTTAAAATCTAACATTGCTATGAAGATATCGTATGACATCCTGGAACGTTGCGAAAATATCAAATCTTAACGTCAGGACGACGTTGTCTACGACGTTGTTTTGATGTCACGTCCAAACGTTACACATTAACGTTGCTACAACGTTGAAATCTAACATTGCTAAGAAGGTGTCGCATGACATCCTGGAACGTTAAATTTCAACGTTAAACCAACGTTTACACCACGTGCTCTTATTCCGGATAGAAAAGTAATCATGAGGACCCGCACGCCTATAAATTGAATTATCTTGAAGGTGTGGGTCACCACAGCATTATTAGTCGAGGTGGTAAGAGTGGTGACATGTATAATGAATTTATAGTGAAATAATTTATGAGTGCATGAAATTTAACCCCATACAGATATGATGTAGCAAATAACTAACTGAGCTAACATACAAACCAGCTTGTCATCACCAATTTATAATAATGTTAGCAGACAATGCCGCGCAAAGTTCAAATTGCGCCAAAATCTGGTCTGAAGAAAGAGTGCATTCTGCTTCACAATCGTGTGTATGGATTCAGTATGGAGATCAAGATCGAACAAACTGGCAATATTTTGATGGGTGCTTATTAAAGATTGATGCGTAATCAGTGGGGAATAATAGTCAAAAAGCTGTAGGTATTGGACCACTTAATCAGTTATTATTTGCTTTAGTATATACACTATGTTAGATACGCCTGGTACCACGGCTTTCAAGCAGGGGCTATCACAACCGCGAGTTGATTGTAATATATTCATTATAATATACTCTTTTCTATATTTTGTTACATGGCAGCACAAGACAAATAATATTTATTTACATATATATACAGTGGCTGGTATAATAAAAGAACCTTATATTATATTCATTTGTTCTTCGCATGACAGCGCAGTGCGGAATGCAAAATAACTATAAGCGCATACATATTATCTGAGTAATTTTGAGTATTTATATATATAGTGGAAACTCGTGCGCCAGAAAGATGTCCCATCTTTTGCTAGCAGGTTATGAAGATGTCCCATCTTTTCTTAGCCAGTGGAAGCTTAAAAAATCCTATATTATAAAAAGTCCTTAAAAAAGTCCTATATAAAGTCCTATCACGCTAAGTTATAGAGTAAAGCGGTGCATGCAGCGATAGCGCTAGATTTTTGAATAATATCTAGAATACTTTTAGTGAAAACTCTTGTGTCAGAAAGATGTCCCATCTTTTGCTGACAGGTTATGAAGATGTCCCATCTTTTCTTAACCAGTGGAAGCTTAAAAGGAGTCTTATATTATTATTTACAAGGCGCTAAGTTATAGTAAGGCGATGCAGCTAGTACTATAGTTTTTTGAATAATATCTAGAATACTTTTAGTGAAAACTCTTGTGTCAGAAAGATGTCCCATCTTTTGCTGACAGGTTATGAAGATGTCCCATCTTTTCTTAACCAGTGGAAGCTTAAAAGGAGTCTTATATTATTATTTACAAGGCGCTAAGTTAGAGTAAGGCAGTGCAGCTAGTGCTATAGTTTTTGGAATAATATCTAGAATACTTTTAGTGAAAACTCTTGTGTCAGAAAGATGTCCCATCTTTTGCTGACAGGTTATGAAGATGCCCCATCTTTTCTTAACCAGTGGAAGCTTAAAAGAAGTCTTATATTATTCTTTACAAGGCGCTAAGTTAGAGTATAAGCGGTGCAGCTAATGCTATAGTTTTTTTAATAATATCTTATATCTAGAATACTTTTAGTGAAAACTCTTGTGTCAGAAAGATGTCCCATCTTTTGCTGATAGGTTATGAAGATGTCCCATCTTTTCTTAACTGACCAGTGGAAGCTTAAAAGGAGTCTTATATTATTTAATACCCGACAACGCAGGCGCGGGCGTAAATTCCGTAAAATAGCTAAGACAATGGTGTCAATGCAGCTATTGTTTTTGGAATAATATGTAGATATATATCTTGGTGAAAACGGTAAAAACGTTTGTTCCAGATTCATTTGCGCACTAGGGCCTTGGGAAAGGCGGTATAAGTGTATAAGCCATTGAAGCCGGCGCACTTTTTATACTGCCAAGATCTATAAAGACGGCAAATAGGTTTCGACGTTTCGATATGGAATTATCACGCCATACTTTGAACGTAAACAAAATCTAGGTTGAATATTATTCACGCTATTCGATCTCTAAGATATCAAGAACGCTTTGTTTTACAACTCATGCTCGAGTATTATTACACGCAGCCTTATTTCACATTATACGCTATAGGGTAGCCTGACCATAGGTGACTTGTCAACAGTCAGCATCGTAAATATCATCCTGACATATTTGTACACTTTTATTTTAATGCATAACAGAAAATTAACTTATTACTTGCTTGGTTTCACACTGCGTTTAAGCAACTGAACCTGGATTGATGACATCTTATAGCGGTAATTAATAATGCGATTAGCGTTTCTCGTTTCCTGAAGTTGCAAACTCAGTTTGCAGATCCCGCTGTTTTTCAAAACGTGCGGGTCGTCATGTGTGTGAACGTCGTGTGAAAGTTAAGTTAGATCTAACTTTGCAACAACCTTTTACCAACGTTGTAATAACGTTATGTGCTAGCTGGGAAGGGCATGCATGGTTAGTATAGTTAAGGTTAATATTACACAACTAAAACTACCCAAATTCCAGTACAAATAGTTGCTCCATGTACCAAACTGTACACCATTTATGGTAATAGAATGTGAAATGTCAGAATACTTATTATAGATATAATCTTGTATATATATTTAAAAAATTCATTAAGAATTCACGAGGAAAATACAAAAGAAATGAATGTTTAATCAATGTTTGTAAATCGGATAAAGATTTGTCCTGATTTACATAAACTTCAGCTTTGATTTTCTCGGCTTGGACAATGTTTATTATTTTAAATTATTTCGCCAATGAACTCACAAGATGGATCATTTTTTAAGTACGATAAAACATTCGCATTTGATCTATATCTGATATACAAACTCTCGCCTTCGGCTCGAGTTTGTATATCAGATACAGACGGCTGCTCATGTTTTATCTAGTACGTCAGCCTAGTCCCAGTCGTTCTGAAGCAAGCGCGAGAAAAAACGTGGATGTAGTACAAGACTGGGACCTAGGTGTGACGTCACCGCTAAAGGTTCTTCAGAACGCCTAGCAGATTTCAGTATTTTTAATATGGCGAAAAATTTATATATACAAATAACCTTGTAAATACGACAATGTTCGTTGATCATGTTCGATGTCTACATAACCAAATTCAAACTGTACTAAAAATGTGCTCAATTAAAAAAAAATTATACACAAATATATAATCGTTGATGTTATTTATATGTTCGCAAGTTGTGATCAACACTAGACCATACTGGTATACACAACTACGCTTTCTACTTGACAAGTTTAAGTACTGAGGAGATTGGAAATATTTGCCTGACATGACTGTGTTGTCAAAACATTTTTAGTCGGAGACTCGGCATAATTTTCAAGCTTCTAGATAGCATTTAATATGGCTTTATATTTTAGTAAACACGAGTCAGATTTAGTAGCCTTAGAAACGTAGCCTATTTCATTGTTCCGACAGCATTAGAGCAAAACTAATGACTTAATTATAAACGCAAAGGAAATTTCCATAACATTTTCTATTTACGAATGCGGTATGCTTGGTAACCAGGCCAGGGACCACTTTTTTGAAATCAGGGACCATTTTACCGAAATCTGCTAGGCTCTCTCGCTGAAGCGTTCCGCACAGCACACCCAGGCATAAATTTAAATATGTCAAAGCAGCGAATAGAGAGAGAGAGCCTGGGACTAGGCTTAGACACTCAAGGTTGCACTAATTGCATCGTATAGCGTTGAACAGTTGCCAATGACAAAGTGGTGATTTCTGTCTTCTGCTTTTTGTTGTCAAATTATTGATTTCTTTCGATAAATCTACCGTATCTACCGCTGAAACTGTTCTATACGAACTCTATTGCTCCCCATTCCCTTGCCTATTACACCATAGCCAATCTCGTTCCCCGAGCCTGCGATCCTCGGGAAGGAAACGAAGGCTCTGGGATAATCTGTTGCCGAAAGCCAGGAATTCTGGCTAAGATTGAACTGCACATTCCATATCAACGGCCAATCAGATTCGTCCCTGAAACGGATTATCCCAGAGCCTTCGTTTCCTTCCCAAGGACCGCAGGCTCAGGGAACGAGATTGCACCATAGCACGCATGTCATCATTTTCAGGTCAGTGTGAACGCCTGAGTAGGCGTCTTGTTCAATTAAGGTTGTCCCCGAGCAAAGTGAAAAGTCGAATACGAGTGCAAAAGGCTTTCAGGGAATCACTAAAATTAATGAATTTATTAGCGATTCCAAGAAAGCATTTCGCGCTCGTATTCGACTTTTCCGCTTTGCTCGGGCACAACCTTAATTGAAATAGCTGTATACGTAATATATACTGTACATAATGTATGGTTAAATTCATATATTTAGGTCCATTCAGGGAATCAATGATATTGGCTAATGAAAAAATCGAATTGGATAATAAACTGGCAGAATGGTTGCCAGGAACAGGAACATGGAAAATATGTTGGCGAGGAACCGAACATGGTTGGGCAGCTCCGACATTTCACGAGAAATGCAACGAGAAAAAAACAAGTTTAGTGATCGTTAAAGTTGTGAAGGGTGGTAAAAGTTTGATCTTTGGTGGCTATTGTACCGGAACATGGACTGGAAGTAAGTTTGAATGTATTATTGTCATATATATTATTATTATTATTATTATTATCACATTAACAATATATACGTTACTCTTATTCTTATTGAGAAAGCCATTGCAATGTGTCTTTTAGTTTTTAATTGTTTGGAACTCAACACAACCTGTTGATCAGCTTTTAATGGTTTGTAGCATATTTTCGCGTTTTTAGGGAGCGTGCATTCTTTAACACTATGGCAGGCAGCGTGGGGGGTGTCACCAAAAATGTCCTGAGCTTTGATTTGTAGTATACATCAATGCAACTTTAAATTCAAAAAGACATTTTCGCCACCAAACGTCATTGGGTATAATGTGTAATGTAATAAGTACGCCAAATGCTGTAACTGTGTGTGTAAAATGACTTTTGAGAAAGGATTGGCTTGCTGGTCTAAATTACAGAATTATTTAACAACTCAATACTTCTTAAAGTGCATATGACATGAAATTTCTTATTTTCTTAACCGAAAGAACTCTTTAAGCTGGAGTGTAACTTATTTTTCAGTTTCTTGTTTTTATGGTTTGTTCCCGAGATATTTCAATTTGCTTGATATGTAAATGAGTGAGAATATGTCCGCTAATTTATGACGTCACGTTGGTTGCAAGCTCAACTTACACTGGTTATAAATCTATTAACTCTAAAAACTGTAGATATCTGTTCACGTTTTTCTACAGTGTTTCATCACATTTGCCAGTGAGTGAAGTTTGAAATTATCATCTTGGATGATAGCAGTGATATTCAACCATTTTGAAGAGCTTGCAACCAACATGACGTCATAAATTGGCGGACATATTCACACTCATTTACATATTAAACAAATTAAAATATCTCGGGAACAAACCATAAAAACAAGAAACTGAAAAATAAGTTACACTACAGCTTAAACAGTTCTTTCATTTAAGAAAATAAGAAATCTCATTTCATATGCACTTTAAATGATAACTCTTCTCAATCTGTCTTAAAAAATATATTGACATCACCATTTACAACTGAGTAATTAATTCAGGTATATTGAAAGACTCAGAAACTATAATACTGTGAAATTAAAGGTTAGGTTTAGTTTCAGAAGGGTGGAGGTCAAAACAATTTTCTCTAGGTTGAGCAAGTTATATAAGGGGGGGGGGGGCATAAAATATTATCAGGACTACAAAGGGGAGGCATTAACAATCTTAAACAAAAAAATAAAAATCACCATAACCCCCCCCCCTCTCTAGTGTAATTATGAACGCTGCCTTAGTCCTAAATGAACCATGGACTTCGCTATCAGGGGGGGGGGAGTGTATGTAGTGTGAGGGGAGGGGTTAATATGAGGGGTCATTACCAGCAAAATGCTTCTCTAAATTCTATTCCAGCCAACTTAAATTCTGTTCTTCAAAATGACATAACCAAATCAATAGCATAACCAAATGCAAATTAGACGTGCATAACAATATTTACGAGAGCAGGACAAAATTTGGGCCTACACAATAGTATTTGCAGCAGAACAACAACATTTAAAACAACAAAACAGAATTTAAAATAACAAAACAGAAATGAGTATCAAATCCTAAATTCTATTCTGTTGTTTCAAATTCTGTTCTGCTGTTTCAAATTCTGTTCTCCTGTTTCAAATTCTGTTTTGCTGTTTCAAATTCTGTTCTGCTGTTTCAAATCCTGCTCCGTTTCAAAATCTGTAAATAAAAAACAAAAAATCAGCTTATTCTGATAAGATAAAAAATGAAATGCTTAAATCCAGCGCGAAAATACTGCTGAAAGGATACCAAAAACTCTTTAACCTACTTATAGAAAGTGGTAAATTTCCCGACAAATGGGGTGAACGATTGATCACACCAATTTTTAAGTCTGGTGACAAAACTAACCCCAATAACTAAAGAGGGATTTGTGTGACAAGCTGTCTGAGCAAGTTCCTCTGTATTGTTCTAAATGAACGATTAAGTAAATTTAGGCCGGAACAAAATTTAATACATCCATCGCAAATTGGGTTTCAATCAGGTCATAGATTATATTAATTAAATTATATTATTGATTATATCAATAACTCTTTGAGGAGTAAAAACAACTCTACTTATGGAGTAAAATTTACTCCAAAAATGGAGTAAACAAAGGAGTAAAACTTACTCCAAAAAAGGAGTCGTTCTGTACCTTTTTTATTTACTCCACTTTTGGAGTCGATTTGACTCCTCGAAATTAACAGTGTAAGCGTAACTATTATGAAGCTAAACTTGAATCTGTCAAAGCGGACATTAAAAGTACGTGGAAAATTCTGAATGAAGTTATCAATAATTATCACACCAAGGGCAGACGTGTTTTGTTCAGCTCCGTTATTTATCACATTTCTATCATATATGTGATAACTTCTTGTGGTCAAGAAGGCTAATTGTTAATAATTTATAGTGAGTAACAAGTAAATTGATATACCAGAAACTAGACAAGCAGCAGCTTCTCAGTCAGCCGAGCTTCGAACCGACATGAGGGAAACAATGCGAAGTGAACTAAACTAAACTACTCTGGTTGAAGAATCTGTCCAACAAGCCACGAAACCTCTTTTGGAAAAGATAGAAGCATTGGAAGCAGAACTAACAAATGTCCGTGTTCAAGCAAACAAAAACGAGCAATATTCCCGAAAGTATAGTTTAAGAATCGTTGGTCTGAACGAAAACGATGGCGAGAATTGCGTTGGAGAAGTAATTAAGCTCTGTAAGGAAAAGTTGAACGTTAATGTGGACGAGAGGGATATCGATCGTGCACATCGTCTTGGTCCGAAAGCGCTTAGCGGGAGATAAAGAACTGTAATTGTAAAGTTTAAATCGTATGGTGCAAAGGCGGAAATCTGTAGGCAACGCAAACTTCTGAAAGATACACAATACTATATTAACGAAGATTTAACTAAAGGCCATGTTACACGGTGCAGTTTTTCTTGCAACTTGCAATGCAATTCTACTCTTGAGAGATGTTAAGAGGCGAAATCTGTGAAGAATTTTCGATGTGTTGAGAAAACATCAGTGGAGTGTAATGAAGACTCGTATTTGGTAATTTTACATCTCTCAAGAGTAGAATTGCATTGCAAGTTGCAAGAAAAATTGTTCCGTGTAACATGGCCTTAAGTTCAATATTGAATTGCTTAATTATGCCCGTGATCAGAAAAGTTTTATTAAATCAGCTTGGTCTGCAGATGGAAAGATTTTAGTCCGCAACTTGGATGATAAAATTACTAGAATTCGTCAATTCAATGATTTCTTGAAGTTTAACCTAACCGATCCATCTTACTGACAATAGTGTCAACTTTATGCATGGAATATTCGTCTAGAACTAGATCTAAGAATAATTTTATACTGTTAACGTTGTGAATTGTTGCTGTGAATTGTTGAAGATTGCGTACTGTCGGAACGGATAATAAGCAATGAAGAATTTCAGACTTTGTAAAACATAATTTAACGAAAATCCGAACCTACGATTCCCACCGTGGCCGGGCATAATTTGCAAGCTCGCCCGGTGTGAATATACACTCAGAGTAACACCACAAACATCATATTCACCTGAGTAAACAACACCAACACAGAAAAAATCATATTACAAAGATTACACTGGTATCGAAGGAAGTAGATTCTGTTCCGAAATATCACTTACTCGAACCGTCCTGACCGAGTAGCTCAATTGGCAGAGCATTGTGAATTGTTGCTGTGAATTGTTGAAGATTGCATACTGTTGGAACGGATAATAAGCAATGAAGAATTTCAGACTTTGTAAAACATAATTTAACGAAAATCCGAACCTACGATTCCCACCGTGGCCGGGCATAATTTTCAAGCTCGCCCGGTGTGAATATACACTCAGAGTAACACCACAAACATCATATTCACCTGAGTACACAACACCAACACAGAAAAAATCATATTACAAAGATTACACTGGTATCGAAGGAAGTAGATTCTGTTCCGAAATATCACTTACTCGAACCGTCCTGACCGAGTAGCTCAATTGGCAGAGCATTGGGCTAGTATTCCTAAAGGTCGTAGGTTCGATTCCCACCGTGGCCGGGCATAATTTTCAAGCTCGCCCGGTGTGAATATGCACTCAGAGTAACACCACAAACATCATATTCACCTGAGTACACAACACCAACACAGAAAAAATCATATTACAAAGATTACACTGGTATCGAAGGAAGTAGATTCTGTTCCGAAATATCACTTACTCGAATCGTCCTGACCGAGTAGCTCAATTGGCAGAGCATTGGGCTAGTATTCCAAAGGTCGTAGGTTCCATTCCCACCGTGGCCGGGCATAATTTTCAAGCTCGCCCGGTGAGAATATACACTCAGAGTAACACCACAAACATCATATTAGATGTTGTTATTACTAATTGTCCACAATATATTTCTGATTCGGGTACATGCAGTCCACCATCGAATTATGATCACTCCTACATCTATACAAAAATGAAAATTCCGTACTATAAGCAAAAGTCCTTTAAACGACACATTTGGGATTTCTCCAATATCAATATAGCAGAGCTTAATGAGGAACTTTCCAATCTTAATTGTGAAAATTGTGAAAGAGAAAATAACCGGATTGGCGATGTTTATAAAAACTGGTTTGACTATTTTTACTCAACAGTTAAAAAGCATATTCCAAATAGAATAGTTGCAATACGTCCTAACGATAAACCATGGATGACATCCGCTGTAAGAAGTGCAATTCGTAAAAGAAATAGAATTTTAAAGCAATTTTCTAAGATAAAAAACTCGTTTATTGTGGAAGAAATATAAAGATCAAAGGAATTACACGACAACTCTGATTCGAGAAACAAAAATAAAATATTATGACAAACTAAATATCCAATTATCAGATTTTCGTTTGGGCCAAAAAAAATGGTGGAGTTATGTTAAGTCAGTTTTTAATAATAATTGCCGTGTATCAATTCCAGTTATATGGGAGGGATCTCAGATTGTTTGCGATGCACAAAAAAAAGCGGATTTATTTAATGAATATTTTGTAAGTGAAGCGAACGTTGATGACACATATCATGAACTACCAGTCCTAGATTATTATTCTAATCACACAGATAAAACGTTGTCTATAGTTCAAACAACAGAAGAAGAAGTGATTAATCTCCTCTATAAAGTTGATATTACAAAAGCTAGCGGTCATGATGGTATTGGCAATAGAATTATTAAATTATGTAGCCGTGAAATTGCCAAAACATTTACATGTTTAATTAACACAAGTCTCCGAGTAGGAGAGTATCCAACTGAATGGAAAAAAGCAAATGTAACTCCTGTCTATAAAAAAGATGATCATCAATATAAAAAGAACTATCGTCCCATATCACTTTTACCGTCTATATCCAAAATACCAGAAAAAATTGTATTCACTAGACTATATGAATTTTTATTTGAAATTAGATTCCTTAATGATTTTTAGTCCGGCTTTAGACCAGGAGACAGCACTGTGAACCAACTTACGTATATAGTTCATAAGATCTATGAAGCTCTAGAAATGGGTAAAGAAGTCCGTATGGTGTTTTTAGATTTTAGCAAAGCGTTTGATAAAGTATGGCATAAGGGTTTATTGTATAAATTAAAATTGGAGTAAAAGACACACTTTTAAGCTGGTTTTGTAGTTATTTGTCTGATAGAAAACAAGGAGTTGTCATTGAGGGGCAATGCTCGAGCTGGCTGAGTGTTGAAGCTGGTGTTCCACAAGGTTCAGTGCTCGGGCCATTGCTTTTTCTAATATACGTAAATGATATTTCCAACAATATTGTATCTGACTGTTTTCTCTACGCTGATGACACATCTTTACTTGAAATTGTTGATAATTGATCATCCTTTGATTCTAGACTAAACGAGGATCTCAATAGCATTAACCAATGGTGTATGGAATGGTTGATGGGATTGAATCCTACTAAGTGCGAAAGCATTACATTTTCAACGAAACATAACCGACTTCCTCAGCCAATCTTATACTTAAATGGCACTGCATTAGCGAAGTTGATTCTCATTCACATTTAGGTTTAACATTTACCTCAAATTTCTCTTGGTCAAAAATATTTTAAGCATACATCAAAAAGCTAGTAAAAGAATGAACGCATTAAAAAGGGTTAAATATAAGCTTAAAAGGTCAACACTGATATGCTTATATAAAAGTCTGATTAGACCCTTAATGGAATATGCAGATGTAATATGGTATGGAGGTAGTATAAAGGAAGCAAATCTTTTAGAAGCAGTTCAATACGAATCAGCTCGCATTGTTACCGGTGCAATAAGGGGAACAAATAGAAATCGTGTATTGGAAGAACTATGTTGGGAGGATTTGAAAACTAGGAGACATATTCATAAGCTATTTTTTTTTAATAAAATTGTTACCCACACTGCACCATCCTACCTTTGTGACCTTTTGCCCCCATATGTAAACCAAAGATCCAGTTACTTTCTAAGATCTAACGATAATTTAATTAACTAATATACCTGTGAGAACTGAACGATTTAAAAAATCTTTCTTTCCATCGGCAATAACTGCCTGGAATGATCTTGATCCAGATTTACGAAATATAGAGACGCTGTCTTCCTTTAAAGTTACCTTATGTAATATGTATTGTAGACAAAAATATAACGTAAAATACAATGCATCACTAAGTAGATATAGCTCAATACTCCGTACCAGGCTCAGGCTTGGTCACTGTGCGCTTAATTTTCACCTATATAGAATTAATTGTGCAAATTCCCCTTTTTGTGTATGTCGATGGAGTGAAATGGAAACTGTCAAACATTACTTTTTATATTGTTCTCGATTTGCCGCCCAACGTGAACAATTTCTCTCACTTCCTGCGCGGCTGCTCCATCCTATGTGGATGAATTTATCAGAGAATCGGAAAATTGAAATACTTATGCATGGGTCGGAAAATCTTGGACATGAAGATAATGTAAAATTAATGCAAAATGTTCAATTATTTATTTAAATACAAAACGGTTTCAGGCCGAGTAACTTTTTTTTATTGAAACTTGTTTTGTAAAACATTGGTCTGTAAAACATTGGTGTGGTAAATTCTTCCATATAAATTTCTTATAATAATATGTTTCATGGAAAGCTTGAGAACGAATACCAGAAGTTCTTCCACACCTTGATTATTCGATTTGTTTTGATGTATGTCTTTTTTTATGTAATCTTCTTTGTCTTGATGTGAGTAACCTAAAGTTTGTAAATAATCCGACATAATCTCCCTTGATGAGCTATGCTCTTGGAGAAAATGTCTGTAATAAAATATGTTTAAATAAAAAAAGACTACCTTCGGTCTTCTCCACTGATAATGGGGATATTACAAACTGTATAACCATTGCAAATCAATTTTGTGATTATTTTACCAATATTGGCCTGAAATTAGCTAACAACATTCCTGCCTCATCCCGCAACCCCATCTCTTTCATCAACGGTAACTTCACAAATTCGTTCTTCTTCCAAACTTCTGAACAAAATGAAATTGTTGAAATTCTAAAATCTCTTCGCTCGGAAACTGCTGCGGGCCACGATAAAATACCAATGTGGTCCATAAATGAGTCCATATAATTTATTGCAAAACCGCTGACTCCTATAATTAATTTATCTATAGAGTCGGGTGTTGTCCCAGACCAAATGAAGATTGCCCGTGTTATACCAATATTTAAATCAGGCACAGATAGCTTATTCCAAAACTACAGGCCTGTTTCGGTTTTACCGATTTTTTCAAAATTATTGGAGAGGGTTGTGTATAATCGGCTAATCAAGTATATCGATAAGCATGGTATTTTATTTGATAACCAATGTGGTTTTAGGGAAACTAAATCTACTTCATTAGCTTTACTTGATTTAATAGACAAGATAACATCAGCAATTGATAACAAAGAATATGCAGTGGGGATTTTTTTAGACTTCTCAAAGGCATTTGATACTATAAATCATGAAATTCTCTTCGAAAAACTCAATCATTATGGAATTCGCGGCCTGGCACTTAATTGGCTAAGATTAAGACTATTTTCAAAGAGACTATTTTCAAACAGACAACACTATATGTTGAATGCAATGGGGTAACGTCCTCGTTTAATACTATAAGATGCGGAGTACCTCAAGGGTCTGTGCTTGGGCCATTACTACTTCTGATATATATTAATGATATTTGCAATGTCTCAGATGCCTTGGAATTGGTCTTATTTGCTGACGATACCAATCTATTTTTTTCTCATCATGATCTATCTAACTTGCCCAACATCGTCAATATAGAGTTACTTAAGTTATCTGTTTGGTTTAAAGCCAATAACCTATCTTTAAATTTAAAGAAGTCAAATTATATTATTTTTACACCACGACAAAAGAGACAAATTACTAGTTTGCTGCTGTATATAAATGATCATGAACTACATCGCACAGATCATGTAGTTTTTAGTGTGAAGTTTCTTCGAAACTTCACAGTATTGTGATGGTGGTGAAAATTCACACGAATCAGTCAGTCAGTCAGTCATTCAGTCAGTCATAGAGTAAACTTTCCGGGGGGTGTATATGATTTATGTTCGTAGTGATTTATTCTGCTTAGTCAGTACTTTGAAGGTTATTGAGGCAATTTCAGTTAACATATTTACATATTCTGTTATCCTTTTACCAAGTTCACAAAAATTTCGAGCAATCGCTTTCGTTATTGTAATTCTTGTAAATTTTAGAACATTTGCTTCTCATGTTGTGTCAACGATCTTTACCCCGGAACACCCGATTTTTTCTTTAGTAGCGCAAATGCGCATGCGCTATCAAGCCATAGATCACGATGGCGTGACGATATGCTAGGAAGGAGTGACAGTGTTGTTTTCAGATGTATAAACATTTCAGACGTGAATATTGAGTAAATCTTTGAAAATCTACGCAATATATAAATTGATCTTATGCATTACGGTCGTTCAATTAAGTGCCGATAATATTTAGACTGTATATTCGTTATACAGAGCTAGGAAGGAGCTAGACCGCCTAGACAGTGCATTTAAGACTCAAGTGTATAAACATTTAAGACTCAAGTGCATAAACATTTCAGACGTAAATATTGAGCTGAAAATCTTTGAGATTCTAGGCATTCAATTGAGTGCTGATATTATTTTCACGGTATACTCATTATACAGAGGTACAGTATGTACGAAGAAGCGAGACAGTGTTGTTTTCAAATATATAAACATTTCAGAGATTCTATGCAATAATATGATATATAAATTGATGTTATGACTACCGGCCTTCAATTAAGTGCCCATCCATAGACGATATTATTTAAACCGTGCATTCATTATACACTGTTATTTGCCTGTATAAGGTGCCACATCACAGAATAGATGAGTACACTTAGTACAAAGAGCAAAAAGTTGGATCAGACCTGCATCAGATCAATAAAGCATAATTAAACAGAAGCGGGCGTTCGTACAGGCGTTTATGAAGAAAATATTGCGAGACGAAGGAAATCATTTGAGCCAGAGTTTCTTATTTTTTATAAGAAAGACGAGGAGATAGCCAATGTGTTATCGCCAACGTGTTATCGCCAATCGCTTGGCTCACCAACAAGCTTTATGCAATGGAAGAAAAAAGCAAGGAGGTACATGTAGCGAACGCGTACTGTCACGGACCTTGTTTACTGTCTAGCACAACGCCGTTGTCAACGGTGCAAATTCGTGTTCAGTGCAACGATAACTCTACCAGATCTTACGAGTCAATCTATAGTATTCTGTACACAGAACTGTAGGCTATCAAAGCTTGTCAAAACTGCTTTAAACAAAGCTATAACTGTGAAACTATTGAAATCTAAAGTGACATTATTCAAAACATGCGAAAAGCTAAAAATAGGCAAACGTGACACTGGGAAAAGTCAAAGGTCAATGCGGTTCATTGTAAAACATGTCACAACTGGTTAAAATGCGGAAGCGGATGGAGCGGACCACGGAACGGAAATTTATAACATATCGTATACAGCTATTTCAATTATAGTTTTAGATAAGTTTAGCATTGCAGTAGCCTCGTGGGGATGCTTTTAGAGACAGCTGCAATTGAAATTTTGAATTGTCGCGTGTAGCATCACAATATAGTAAATAGATAAATTGTATATATAAGTTTCACAAAGCACGTTTCTGATGTGTAGGCTTGTTTCAAACGTCACGCTACTCGTGTGCCGAGCGCATTAAAAGCAAGAGATAATGAGATGAAATGCCGTTGGTAATTGCTTATTTCGTAGTGTAAGCCATCAGCTTTTCTAGGTTGTCAGCGACCCTATATAGTTCTGGCAGTGTCTTTTTCAATTTGAAACTTCACACTATCCTTGGATCCCTAGTTACAATAAGTTTTCTGTCCCACTATACCTTTCGGTCGGGTCAATGTACATGCTAGAAAGCCAAAAGCTCAAAAGGAACGTTGAATCTTAATTAATCAAGTTTCAAATTGAATCCGAAAAATACATATGTTGAGGTGGACTCATCAGCTTCGAATCTATTCAAGATTTTGTCAAGTGAAACAGAAAATCGATAATCGGATTTGAAAATTCAAATCCGGATTGCACTAAAGAAACGCTCCCTACGATTATCCATTTTCTATGGATCACGTGACCAGCTCCAACCAGGGTTTTTTCTTCATAAGAGGGAAGAGCCTGGGAACGAGGTTGACTGCATTTAACTGCATTTAACGATATCTATGTTCGCACAATATCGGACGAATACGCAAATTCGTCTAGTTTCATTTGTTACACAGGAATTCCTAGGGTTAGCTGTGTTTGAATTTGTCCAGTTTCATGTGTCCCATGTGAACGCATAAGGTGATAGTCGTGAAATTGTGAGTATGGTTCAGAATTCGTTCAGTCCCGTGTGAAGAAGGGTCGATTGGGTCATAATCATACCGATCATGTCCAAAAGTAAATATTATAGAATTTATTAAATATTTTGTTAAAATTTAATCATTAATTTTGTTCAATTTTAAGGTGGTGCTTGGAAACGTTCCAACGCGTCATTTTTATTCTCCCTACGCAACAAAGACAACCTTGCTCCATTTATTGCCAACATCAAGCAAGGTCAGGAGCACAGTGCAATCTACTGTTCGCTTTGTTATGGACCAACCTTTGGTGGAGGTTATGATCTGTACATTTGTAACAATCCTCAAGTTAATCAATCATACAGCAATTTTGGAAGCACATATCAACTTCCTCCTGGTTATGTCTATAGCAGTGAACAAGCAAAGAACCTTCTTGCTGGTCAGTACCAATTCTTAACGACAGAAATCGAAATCTTCAACTGACAGTTGCCTTGGTTTACGTACTTCAACGAAAAATAACATTACATTGATTACGACCGCTCTTAGCAATCAATTTTGGACAGTGATTTTGCGATGTTATAAAGTATTAAGAGTTAATATGAATATTCTGAGTCATGTACTGCAGGAATTTTAAAAATTAAAATTGGTCGTTTGCCTCAACAGTAGCGGTTACTGGAGTCAACAAATGAAAGGCCTCGAAGAAAACTTGTGAAAAACCGATTGTTATACAGCCGACGGTAATCAATGATCTAATCAGCATATAGCCTAGGTAAATGTTCTAAAATTGGAAGAACATTTAATTTTCGATCGACCACTTTATATCGGATTGCATCTGACCATTTTTCATCACAATGACATAAGAACGGTGTCATTTGGCAGCTAAAAGCCTATCTTTGTTAGTGTGTGAAAGGTAAATATATAAACTTAGTATATATAACACACGATAGCATGCTGAAATTGTTTTACCTTTTTTGATACACCCTGCACTATACATGTTGAAGGGTTTTCGAGATTTCTTTCTACAAAAAAACCATTCAACATTTAATATCGACTGAGATGCCTGAAATCTATAAACTTAATTAGTATCCATAACGCACGATAACATGCCGAAATTGTTTTACCTTTTTTGATGCACCCTGCACTATACATGTTGAAGGATTTTCGAGATTTCCATCTACAAAAAACCATTCCGAATTTAATATCGACTGAGATGCCTGAAATCCTGATATTTACCCATATACCTTACACTGGCATCACGTAGTATGTACTATATATACATGAACTTGTGGTTAAAACTCGGCAAGTGGATTCTGTAGCTCAGTTGGTTAGAGCGCTGTGCCGGAATCGTAGGTTTGATTCCTACCAGAGGGTCTATATATAGTTGCATTTTTTGCAGTTGTTCCTGGTTTGGTGTATAAACGTCTAAAATTTACACTCGAGGTTTCCATCTACAAAAACCCCTCAACATTTAGTATCGAGTGTATTATATGTACCTTTTTTCCTTGATCATGATATAGTCGTAATCAATGACTTGTAAGCTTTCTCAGTAATTCTTGTATATGTACATATTCAATGTATCATGAACATGGCCGCCGAGAGGTTCAACGCTGAGCCCGGGCCAAAACTTTTCAAGGACCCGGTTATGACGTCATAATTGTAAAAGGGGGGAAGCGTGTTTTACAATATATCACAATTTATTGCATTTTTGTCTGACACTAACGCAGCTAGGATTTATATTCTCAGTAGCAATCTTTTATCCAGAAATTTTAAAGGCCTTCGTTGGTTTGGGGGCCTCTTTTGATTTTGGGGCTCGGGGGCCTCTTCGTTTTGGGGCACCCAACCCCTTTCGGCGGCCCTGATTATAAACTATTGCTTTGAACTGATTTATGCTGTACAGATCGTGTAAATATTTTACAAGGAATCAAATTTCAAAAACCCAGTGGTCTAATTTTAGTAGGCTCCTAGCCCTATATATGTTAGATTACTTTAAATCATAATGATTCTTATTAATGTTGTAATTGACGAAATAAATGAATAATCGAAATTTCAAAAACTATTATGCTTGGCCATAATCTTGTTTTAATCCATGTCTTGGATTGCTCAAGATGTTTTATTCGGACATTGTTTCGTTTTAAAAAATGCCGTATTACTCCCAACATAAGATGGGCTTCCACGCTGAGGCGCTTACATATGACGGGCGATATTGTATACGAAAATAATTTTGTGTTCGTAAGTGTGCTCTAAGATATACAGTGACATAGCATTCCCTTGTCAAATTAACGTAACCATTGAAAGCATTTTCCCTTTTCAATTACTCAATTTTAACCTCTTGGCTTATTTACGCCGAGGGGGGGGGGGAGGTAGGTGGAGGCTTATGTATTGTATGGACTGAGGGTCAGTGAATATGCTGCGCTGGTCGACGTAGTTTAATTTGGGCATTGAGGACTTGTATTTGGAGGTATACGGTAATACAACTCCCGTAATACAATTCTTATTTGAACTTTTTTGAGACACAGATCAGTGGCCATGCAACAGGTCATGCTATGCAATTTTTAATGAATTGCATTCTTCAAACCTTTAGAAATGTATTATTTTTATTAGCATAACATGACCAGTTGCCATGGCTAGCTCGCCATTAGTAGGATGTATGGTAGCATCACCCTCCCCCCATGTAAATATAGTTAACACACATTCTTAATTACATGGAAGACAATGTATCACTTTACAAATTTAACTAGGCGTTAATGTTAACCCGTATTATTTAATGTGCTAGACTCGTGCGCATTAATACGGGTTAACATTGACGCTTGGTTGACCTTAACGAGTAAAATCATCTGGCGTTAGACAGGGTAAAATAATAAAATCGAATCATTTGGGCGCGTTGCAGCATAATGGGTTAACAAATAAAGTGTAAAATAAAAACCGAAAATGAGATCATCTTAAATATTTACTATAATGCTAGAGGAAGTACTTTCTTTTCAGTTTCAGAGTATTAAATTTCCTGGAAATGACCATTTTATTTTGCTACATCAATTTTACGAAGCTACTCCAGTGATATATTGAGGTCATTAAACCCAGCCTGATCGCGGGCTAGAGCGAATTCTTCGAATTTCGCAATTTTCAAGAAATCCAAGTCTATGTCCAAGTCATGTGTCCAAGTCCCAACACTTTCACATTTTCACGTATTTGTAGCAAGATTTTATTCGATCGTTTCGTTCGATAGAAAACACAAATATGTTTTAAACTTGTCTAAATTGTTAAGTAAGAAAGATTTAATTGAAATGGCAAGTGCTTCGTCAGACAGTGTTTCTGTTGATGAAATCAACGAACTACTCACATGTTGCATGTGTTTGGAAACTCTACACGAACCAAGAAGCTTGCCTTGCTTTCATAATTTTTGTAAAGTCTGTTTAGGTGAGTATATTTTACTTTTTAAAAAAATCTACTTTGCACATGCTTGCATGGGTACCACAGAATAGGAATATATCCTTATCCTGAGAATAGGAATATATCCTTATCCTGTGATGGGTCATGACCGAATTCATAATTTATACAAGGTTGGAAAGATTAATGTTAATTTACTTGCAAAGATAGTAGACTAGAAGTTACTATCGCAAGGAAAGTGCTGCCTCACCGCCCAGGGATCAAGGCAGCATGTCGCAATTTGCTGCCAATAAAGCTTGGTTTCCATTAAATCGTAATTTTCGCAAAAAGTGCATCGCAAGCGTCACAACGATTTAAAAAACGCAAAATTTTCAATAAAAACTGCGATTTATTGGAAACTTGAGTCACGCCGATAACTAAGACTCTTACGACAACGTCGCAAAGATAGACTTACTGCGATTTTTGCGATAACGATGTCTGCGTTCCGCGACTATTGCGATGATTACGATTTAGTAGAAACCAGGCGTTTTTAAGGGTGTGTTTATACCCTGAAATGTAGTGACAC